ATACACATATATTTATTATTCAAATTACGATCACGCGCACGCCGAGGTGATTTCGTTGTCCTTGAGATTTCTCGAACGACGACCGGATAACAATGAGAGTGCTGTCTCTCCTCGCTTAGTTTGTAAATACGTATATGTATATATGTACGTACATAGCTCGTGCTTTTGTCACGCTGTTCAACATTTCGAGGGAACTATTCACAATGAGATTCGGCGAAATTTCCGCAGACGTTATATCGGGAATAATTCCCCCTGCGATGTAAACATTACGCAAAAACGTATTTGTTTTGGCTGAGCAAAGCGGAAAAGCAGCGCAGTCAGTATTATTCGCGCGCTCGGTAAGATGAGACGTAGCAGTTGTGCCTTTAGGTCATGATTTCTTAATACTCGGTTATGAATAACATTATGCATATATATATATATATATTCCTCTGCGTGCTGTTGTTTACTCGAATTCCATGCGTACTTTAAAAGCTTTCTATTTCTTTGCTTTTCATCTCTCTCATATGTAAATTGATATAATTGTTAATTGCTGAATTGCTGTTTTAATTAATCAAGCAAAGCCAGCTTAAAAAGCAACTTATCGTAAAGCAAAGCCAGTTTAAAAAGCTTCTTATCGTATATTATTTTTTCGAGCGCTTAATGAGATTTTAGAAATTGCAAAACCTGCAAATATACCATGACATTTAAATCTGTTTGAACATTCTGATACATACATACATTTATATGTATTTGAACAGGAGAAATCTGACATCTGACGTTTCTTTGCGTTAATCTTCTACGTTAATCCTTCACCGAAAGCTGTTCGCAGAATATTTTCTATTTTTGTATCACTAATTACATTACAGATCGATAGATTCGCGTAGTCGTGTGAATTTGTATGACACAATTCATGTTTTATACAGAAGTTTCGAGAGAAAATCTTTAATTGTAATTTTTAAAACAAAACTTGAACATTTAAAATCATTACCTACTAAAAAAAAAAAATAAATAAATAATTGCACACAGCTTTCGAGTGAAACGTTCTAAAATTACGAGAGACAATAGAAAGGTGAATAAAGAGGAAGAGAAATTAGAAACTTTCTGCCTTTGTAAATTTAAAATCGGCACTTTGAAGCAAACGTTTCTCGTAATATAGTGTATATACTGAAAAAATAAATTTGTTACCTTGACTAAACCTTTCACTAAATATTATTTTATTAATTGAACGTACAAAAATATTTAAATTAAATATAACATATTAAATCTAACAAAACGTATATTTGATTTAAATACTAATATATGTTCAATTAACAAAATAGTAATTTAGTTGAAAGATTTAGTCAAGTTAACAAATGTTTTTTCAGTGGCATGCATGAAAACGCCGTAAATACAAATTATCGTTTCGAAATCTATTTCCTTTACGCTAGAAAAAAGTCAGTTGTGTGTGCCTTAATTTATATTTACTTAAAGTTTAAATAGATATGCGATAAGAATCGCAAATACGCTTGTGTAATGCATGACATATATATATATATATATATATATATATATATATATATATATAATATATATGCATTATTAATATACAGTGAATTGTGATTCATGAAATTTTCACGAAACAAGAATTGATCTTATCAAGGAATTTATATCTGGAAGGATAGTTTTGCAACATCTTATATATACGGTTCGGATCGTGCAGTATACTTTAATAACGTATTATACCTTCCGAGAATGTATACGCTCGAAGAATGTGCGCGATCTCCTGGAAGCGCCTCGTCTCGCGCGTTTCTTTCTGCTTTGCCAGCCACTCGTGCTGCTGAGTTGCATTATATGTCGCGTAATGCATGTCGTCGTCGTCGTCGTCGTCGTCGTGCAATTCTCGCGAAGAACGAGCACACTCGAATCAACGGTATCAACGGTACCTCCTTCTTCTCCAGATGATCTTACGCATTGATATCTTGTAAGACTTGTTTCAAGGATGTATTCAACACTTCTTCAATATCAGGAGCGAATTTTCAATACCTAACGTGCTAACTTGATCTTACTTTAATCTTGAGTTTTTTTTTCAATTGAAATTATTCGACGAGATTTTTTAGTCTTTAATTATAATTTCAAGTCGACTGTAAAGAATACCACATCCCAAATGATTCATTGTTTATTAAACGCCATATATTTTATCTGAATGATGATACTTTCATTCGCGTATGATATGATAAGAGCTTTGTTTGAACTTGATATTTTAGAATTGTCGTAAATTTAAAGGTCAGCTACAACGTTAGATAATATAAAGCTATTAAAAGTGTATTATATGTTTCTAACGAGACCGAACACATTTACTTATCCGCTGAAATCGGACATCAAAGCGAACTTGACTCAATTAAACAGCTTCAAAGTTAACGAGGCTATTTGCATCCTCGCGACCTCGAAAAAATCTCTCGCAGCGCTAGATAACGAAGTTAAGTTACTTCACAAGCAAGCGAAAAGCAATAACGCGATCGCGCGTAATTGCGTTTCGGCGCCGCGATGTCAAACATGGATGTAGTCAGCGAAAAACGAATAGATAAGCTCGTACATTTACACAACTGCAGCGATATGCGTTTTTAATAACGCATTTCAGCAATCGATGTCGTAAATGTCGAAGTGCACACGCGGAACGATCGGCGCGTGTTGCGTTCTCGATACATCGTTGAAAATGAGATATTTTCAACAAAAATTTTATTATTTTTCTTTATTACGTGCGGTATATCATATACGAAAGGATTATTAATTGGGCATTTTTAATTCACAATAATTATCCTTTTCTATGAATTTTTTTACAATAAGTTTGTTAGTAATAACATGTGTGATAAACAGTATTTATTCCGAGGCTTTATAATGTATGTACTATGTGCAAAAATGTTTTTACACATTTTGAAAGTATATATATATCTACATATATATATGTGCTTTTGATAATTAAAATTATTGCATTTTACTTTGTATTGTCATACTTTTCGAAAATACTTAATGACTTAATATAAACGACAAAAGGACAAAACCTGTCATCGAATCAGGTCAGAGGAATGTAAATTGGTGTCTGAAGCTATTGTATTCTTTTCACAAAAGAAAGAAACAGGATATTTTTTCTCTTTAGGACCATAGATCAATGTATTGTTCTTGAACGAAAGTTACACTTTTGTAGTTTTTGTTTTACTAATTAGTTATACGAAGTGAAAGTATAATTTGTGTGTGGTTTCCTCTCAGATTTCGAGAGGAGATCGAGACCGTAGGAGGTCAAATACTTTTTTTTGTATTCTTTTCTTCCAAACATTTATCCTTAATTTTGTCTTCATACAATCTTAGTATTGTAAAGCCCAGTAAATTTGTGTAAATTTAGCCATAAAGAATATTTCTAACAAACAGAAGAATCTGCTTTTTTACTTTTTATAGCGCTCGATTTTTAGCTCGCGCTCTTAATTGTTTCTGGATATACATTTTTTATTTATTTGTGTAAATATTTTCGCAGTCTTCACATATATTTGTTCTAAATATATAAATCAGAAATTTTTGCTTTTATATTTTGTTTCAAAGACCAGATATATACATCGATCTTTTGGGACAAATGGATCTTTTATGGTCGCGCATTTAGATAAAGGGATCGAAGAGAGAAAACAGCGAGCCAAAACGAAAGAGGAGGGAAGAAAAGATACACGCGCGGATGTATTTATCGCGCTCGCGGATCCCGCGCGTGCATTGTAAGATCCGCCGACCGAGCGTGCAGATAAACACGCGCGTTGCGCACGTAACAGTATAAATAACTTGCGCAAGCGTTAATGAATACTTATCTCTCTCTCTCTCTCTCTCTTCTCCCCTTAAAAAGTCGCAAGATATACTAGCCAGACGCTGCGTTTTATTATCTTCGTCGTTGCGCACGCGTGCTGACTCGACGCGAGATGAGCGAATTTCTTGGCGTACGAAGCGAGGAACAATAATTAATGCATATATCCTAGGGCAAATTCTTTTCGATGCGCGCAAATATCGTAAATCAAATGTGTAGGATGGGATAATTCGCGGGACGATTCAAGAAAATAATTAAAGACGTCAAAATGTGTCATGCATGATTATTTTCATGAGAATGTGTAAAGTTATACATATATTTTTTATAAAAATTGAATTTTTTTTTTTTTTTAACTATATTTCTCCCCCAAAATTAGGAAAAAATGTGATACACATTATAAAATTGCAAATCTCTGTTTTAAACAGAGTAGATGGGACGATAACGAGAACAGCTGACGGCGCACGTTGCCTTTGGAGGAAATGGAGAATGTAACCTCTGCATTTCTCTTTTCCCCTTCGCACATTACGTTATTTGGGATTTCCGCCGAGCTGAGCAAACGGGGAGGTCGTATAGGGCGGAGATAAATCGATAAGGGACGCGAATGCGAAGGAGGGTCGGCCGAGTTCCTTTGCGATCGCATAAATTACGTGCATATAAATTACATCTATATCGTTTAAGCGTCTTTGTGTATAACGATGAGCAATGTATATAAAGACATTCAGATGGCGCATTATTTTTTATCGCTATTTGGAAGACTGTATTTCAAGATTAGAATATCGATACTTGGTATAAATTTCGTATTATGGTTCAACTTGCGTAAGCTAGACTCGAGATGAAATTTATATAATTAAGAAATCAATTTGATGTTAAACGTCGAGCGGAAAAATAATAATAATAATAATCACAAGTATAGCTGTTTTATTTTTATGAACTTTCAAGAAAGAATTGTAAGAGTTGCATTACGGTTGAGATATCACGAGCCGTTAGAATTAATTGGCTAAAACCGTGCATATGTGCGCTCTTCGAGATTTAAGAATGGGAAATTTACTCGCCGACGATGCGTTCGTTCGCGAACCGCGTCTACAAATCCGTTCTTAATTGCTAATAACCTCGTAAAACCGCGGGCTAATTTATACGCACCGATTCGCATAATCGCGTGGTAATGACGAGACTGAGTTTTCGTTTGCTTTGCTTGTTACAGGGAACGCCGCGAAGCGGAAATACGCGAGATAGAGAAATCCAAGATGGAACGGGAGAGGATCGAGAAGCAGAGGGCCGCCGAGCAGGCGGTTCAAAAGCACTTTGAGGAGTCCCTCAGGCTGCATCAAAAGGTTAGTCATGTTTAGATTCTATACTATTTGCTTCCAATTTATTATAACACGATGTGCTGTTCGCTTCGTTCACTCTGGAGACACTTTTAGTAGATCAAACTTAATGTCAGATATCAGTTTGAAAATTTGACAAATCAATCATGCAATTATGAATTTAAGTATTGAGCTGATGATATCAAAAATAATGCGTGAACCTGTATATTCATCAAGAATATACATATAGAAATGTTTATTTTGACGATTTGAAATAATTCTCGTCATGAACTCGCTCGTTTAATGATTGAAACAGCCTCTTGAAGGTAACTCAATATTTAGAATATTATATTACGAGGAGGACCCTATAATTTTATCTCGAATCATGCCTAAGAGACGAGAGGACACCTCTGTTTTTCATCGCGTTGATGTATATAATTCGTGAAGAATTTTAATAAAAATATTCGATCGCGAGGTGTTTGTATTCACTAATTATCGCATCCATCCGTCGTCTCTCATTTTTAGAGTTCAGACTAGCAGCATCCCTCTCGCAGCGACTCTAACGAGCTAATAACGAGGAAGCACGAATTTCTTCCCCAAGAAGAGTGCGCTCTTTGTTTTGCGATGAGGTCGTTATATCGCGATCCTTATTCAGAGATAGGTGGAGAAATGAGGGAGAAATAAGGGAGACTATGCGAGGGTTGTTGGTTCGATTAAAGTTCCAAGCGAAGGGCTGCCGCTTACTTTCTCGGTCAAATCACGCCCAGGCACGGAAAGAAGAGTAGTGAAACAGTCAGAAAAGTTCCGTTTCTTATCCCGTTCGTTTCACTATTTGTTCTCTACACATCTGAGGAAACTAAGGAAACTATTAAAATGGAAAATTACATTAAATCGCGTATAACAGCCATTTCTTCCTCTATTGATCTTATAAATGCTTAGTACGAAATAATATTTGTTTAATTAAAATAAGATCTTATTATTTTAAAATATAGTCAATTTATATAATAATTCAGAGAAACAAATATTTTTAGACATACGTACTTCTTATTAAAAATGCTTTAAGTAATTAAGTATATCTTTTATTATATGAGCAGAGAAAGAAAAATATTTGAAAGTTACTTTTATGATCATGTTCAAGTTTATTTATTTCTTGTATAGTTTAGAGCTATTTTTAGGCTATTGCACAATGTAAAAATACAGGCAATAGAAACAGAAACAGATAGTATTGTGATGTACAGTAGATCTTATATGTATGTTTTATTAAATTATATAAGTAGTCTTTTAATTGGCATTGAAAAAAAGAAGTAATTATTTTAGCTAATCGCGTCCTTATTTTGTCACTTTCTAATTATTTTATTTATTACATATTTGAAACAACACTTGAAATAATAACAAAAGTAATATTTAAAATAATCGTGTTTGAAAACTCTAAATTATATTTCAAATATAAAGATCTATAAGTTGTGAAGAAAGAAAAAATAGAGATATAAAATAGCTAGTAATATGAAAGTTAGCAACACACAATTCTTATTGGTTTTACCTTTCAAATATATTTGAACTTGACTCGAAAACAAACTTTAACGTCTTTCTTCGAGTGTTCGAAATTTTTCATTTAATTATTATTATCAAATTAATGAGTAATAATAATCTAAATAATGAGAATCGAAGAATACCTGCATTGAAGAACCAAAAGCGATATCAAACTTTCAGAAAATTACACGCACAACAAGAATTGCAGATTCTGTCACAATGGCCTGTTTACATAACGATGCGATAATCGTATAATTACCACTTGCTGTATATGTTCGTAAATTACTCACGCAGTTAATGTCGATATAGAAATCAGAGCATTATTCAAGGAGTTTACTTTGTCAATTGATGAAGTTATTTTCGATAATCCGATTCTATATATAAAGTGAATCTTATTACATCAGCATCATTTCGAGAATCAATTTTAATATCATAGATTACAACTAATTATCAAATTGTAAATATTTCATACTTTTATCTGAACTCTCAGTAATGTATTCGCGATATTAGAGGTATGCGTATTGTTCGATGTGAAGAATGCGATTAACGTGCTTCGGAACATAATAGCAGTTTCATTTCGTGCGTGGTCTCTCTCTTGGTTGACCTTGGCACTTCGCCAAGCTATCGCAGACGGGCGTGACGTGCGTTTAACACATCCGAGATTGGCTAACGATTCTTGAACAACACGTGGGATGATCGTGCGAAAAGAATGCGTGCATGGAGCTTCTCGAATGAAGAAGGCTCTTCGAGAAACACGTGTTTCGTTCATTTTTTTTCCCCTCATTTTTTCGATTGTTGTTTGCTTGTATGAATTAATCTTCGGAAAGCACAGAAATATGTTGTGAATATTTCAGAAATTTCTTTCGATATACGGATGCTATCGACGTGATCGAGATTGTATTCCGTGCATAAAGAATCCGAAACGGATGGAGAGAGACACGTACGAGAAATAAAATAGAATGATAATACAAAAATGACATATATAGGATGATAAGAACGTTTATTGTTAATTTTTTCTTAAAACAATTTAAGATGATACTAAGAAAAAAATTTTTTTCTAGCTACCGCTTCTAGCATTTTTTATTCCGCAGTTGTCTCGGAAAGAATATTATTCATCGTATAATCGCAATGACATATATTAATTATATAGTTCTGATAAAGTGACGTATATTCATTATGCAGCTCTGACAATGCGTGCCAACGTAATTAATTATACAATTCTATTTTCCAATTTTCATATCTCTCAATCTTACTCACAAAGAACCATTCTTCAAATTATACTTCCATATGCGTATTCTACAGCGTGTGCTTTAAAAAAAAGAAAAAGAGATGCGCAACTTTAAAGTAGGTGGGCGAATTTTACGGTAAATGACGCAATTATCGTTACTAGCGAAGATAATTAATTACACGGCGCGGAAATACGCTTTCGTCGAAGATGACGAATGGATGGGCGAACATATGGTTGTTCGCACATCGAGGAGGGGAAGAGGAAAAAAGAGGTCACCGATAGCGATATGCGAGGAAGTTAGGCGCGAAGTATCGATCGTTAGTGTCGGCGATACCGAAACTTTCACGCTGTTTATCGTCGACAAAACGTCTCGTCCCGTCTTTCCCTCCTTCGCCTCTCTTCTATTCTCTGCGCAAACACGCGCGAATGTTCCGCAAGTTGACATTTGCAATGCAAAAAGCATCAGCACGAAGTGATCATAATTATGCGCGCGCACGGCATAGTCTGACCATATTTTCCTCTTTGTTTTCAATGGGAATGATCCTCTGAAAAATGCGTTGACCTTTCAGGTCGGAAACGGAAAGGAAAAAAAAGAACACGGTTTTAAGAAAGGAAGATGACATCGAAAAGTTATTCAAAATAATTCGTCGCATTTCAAAATGACTTATTTTTGTAGTTTACAAAGATTGATATAATGTTAATCATACATCAACTGAAAGGAAAACCGATCAAGTTGCTTCTTTTGTGTAAATAACAATGCGATTTTTGAGTTTATATCACTTCAAAAAGATAGTCATTTGAAATCGAATGCATCATTTTGAATAATACTTATAATTCGTTTGAAAAGGTTTAAAGAACTTATTATTTGTTTCTGTAGAATATCTATTTAAAAACAAATGTAAGTCTTCCTTTTCTGCAATTATTTGGCATCACATGCAATTTGGTTTTTTCATATTCGATATAAGTTTATATATAATTTTTTTCTACGATATTTTAATCAATTTATAAGCGCATGTAAACTAAATTTAAAAAATGTTATATAGTCGTGAATTTTTTAAAGATTAAAATATAAAGCGGCAAATTTAAAAATAATCTCACAAAACTTCTACGTTATGTCGATCATCGCGTCATCGAAAAAACTTTCGTATCTTTTAAAAGTCGAAATATCTTAATGTCTCAAACTCTTGTATCTTTAATATTTATTGCCATTGCATTCCAAACACTTGTCCCCTGTGCAAAGTAATTGAGCATAGCGAGAGAAGAACCTTTGTACCGTATAACAACGTAGAATGAATTATGAACTATGCAACGCGGTGCATCCGCAATCGCCTTCCTCCAGGAACATTCTCCGGTCGCGCTCGGAATTTCGTCACGTTCCCTCGGCTTCGCCGTTAGCGGGTTCGCGCGCCGTGAATTCGCTCGTCGATGTACCCACGCCTTCTAATCCCGTGCAAAGTTAATTACCGCATCGTCCGCATCCTTGCATTAGTACGTGTAAAAAGCACTCTCTGGTCTTCTCACACACACATATATGAAACACACGAATAAAAATATTACCTCCCTCTTCTTACTAATTCTTATATGCACGCATGTGCGTGCATTCGCTCGTGCATCACGCACACATATACCAGTCCGGTAGTACAGTTATCCGTAATATACGCGAAAGCAAGTCGCGCGTGTTCTCTCTCGTGTAAGGGGGTCACACACGCCATCCTTACATATATCGTGTACATGTACATATGTATAGCATATGTGACTTGATACATATATACATATATGTATATGGCGTAATACCAATGCTCTGCGAACGCACACATATCCGTGACGTGTTAGGCGGATTAGCTCGAGTTACGGATGCGCGAACACACACACAACGTGTGGCCTCTAATCTCGTTTGATCGCGCGTTACAGAGACGGCGGAGAGAGGTGAGAGGTTCTCTCCTCTTGCTACACGGCACGACGAGGTCGAACGCAAATTGGGAGATCCGTTAGATATATCCGTTCGGAAACATTTCCCCGGTCGGCGACACCGCGATCGCAAGGTCGCACGACGGCTGTAATGCCTATCTCTTCAAATTTTGCCTGAGGATCGTGGAATTCGTGGGACAATATATTGGATTTTTCAGGATTTTACAAGAGCTTCCTCTGATTAAAAAATATTATAAATTTAATCGCACATATTTTATATCTTATTGTAGATATTAATATGTTTTATTGTAACAAAAATATTAATCACACAGATAAACTCTTATAAAATTCTTCCGATATC